CTTGGGGAGACTCCACAGCATCCTGGCTGAGCACACAGATGCTGAAACCAGATGCCTGTATTTAAATCCAGCTGCCCTTGACCTTGGCTGCAATTGACCTCTCTGAGCCTCAGTTTCTTCATTGGCCAAGTTTTCCCCTGGACAGAGAGATTGGCTTAGAGATGCCACCTATGTCTCAACTGGACCAATGAGAGTCAAGGCCAGATAGGTGCTTGGACCACGGGTGGAAGAAGTTCTTTCCACTGGGGTTGCTGAGCTAGCAGGCCCTGAGCCTGGAGCTGTTGGGGCCATCCTGGTTATCTAGGGAGGAGCCTGCCTGGGAGTGAAGCCAGCAAAAGGGAAGCAGATCAGCAAGCCAGAGAGAGACAAGTCACGATGACATGGCGCCTGGATCCAACTGTGCCTGAAGCAATCCACTTTTGGATTTCCCATTTTCATGAGCCAGTGAATTCCCCATTTTGCAAAAGCCAGTCTCCATTTTGCAAAAAACATAAGTTGGGTTTTTTCTCACAGAAAAGCATCTAGGTTGATGTCAAGAGGTTAAGCAACTTGCCCAGGCCTGAAAGTTCGAGAGGTCAGTGTTAGCTAGGGTCACACAGGATCCAGCTCGGCCAGCCGTGCCCCACCTCTCCACCAGGCCAGCATCCTGTAGTCGTGTTCACTGAGTTCCTGTGTCCGCCCTCCCTGGGCAGCCAGTTTTTGCATCTTTGAAATGCAGTCATGCCAGGCCCGCGGCCCTGCTGCTGGGAATAGAATCCTCAGCTGACTGAGCTGCCCCCTTGGAGGCTGGAGCCCGAGCCTCTGCCGCCCGTATCTCGGGCTCTGGGCCTCGGCTTCACTCTCAGTCACTCCACGGCAAGGGGGTCTTGGGCTGTCCCCAGAGGCCACCCAGGCCAGCTGCCCACAGCCTGTGGGGAGAGCGTGTGAGTCTCGGGGAGGGCCCCCTCCCTTCCTGGCTGTGTGCCCCAAGGGTGGGCCAAGGGAGCGGGAGGACGCTGAGGACCCTGGAGCCCAGAGCCGTGAGGGGCAGAGAGCCCTGGCCTCTGTCCCCAGGACTGGGGCCTTTGGAGCGACCTGCAGGGAGACAGCCCCGCTCAGGTAGCACTTCCTGGGCAGCAGCAGAGACAGAGGACACCCACACCACGGTGACACAGGGGGACGCCAGGCAGAGAACGTCATCAGGCGCACCGCTAGGAAGGACCGCGGCCAGGGGACGGTCAGTAGGGCCTCTCAGCACAAATGACCTTTCGCGAGAGTCCCGCCTGGTCCCTCGGGGGCCGGGCTCGGAGCCCTGCTGGTCTCCCTGGAGGACAGGACCCGCTCTGCCTGATGGTGCTCGCTGAAGTGCTGTCAGGGGTCAGCCACCCGCCGGAGGCTCGGTGACGGGCCGTCCTCCTCCATGACAGCTCCGGGACCTTCAGGAAGGCTGACTGGCCACTGCTCTGTAGTCCTGAGCTAAATCTGGAGGAAAGGCCGAGAAACCACGCAGGACCGTCCCCAGGCACGCCTGCCGGGAAGAGGTTCCACCCACACGAGGACACGGTGATCTAACCATCGTCACTTAGATTCCGGTCACCGTCATCACACGGCTGGGGGCCCTGGGGCTTAGGCAGTTCAGGTCAGGTCCCCTGGGAACCAGGGAGCTTTAGACGGAAAGCCAGCCTCCACGTCACAGAAGACTCGGGCCCCTGCGTCCCTCTTCCCAACCAAATGTCAGCTTCTTGGACAGGACAGAAGTGAGGCGGAGCTGGGGGAACCAGGCAGCTAGGAAAGAAGATGCCCACGAGCCAGGTGGGGAGAAGGGGATGCCTGGGGGGGACAACCACACCTGTCCCGGGAGTGACACTTGACCTGAGACCTGCAGGGTGAAAAGATCTGCGAGAGTGACCCCTGCAGAAGGACCTGCTGGTGCAAAGGTCCTGGGGTGGAACTGAAGAAGGAGGTGAGACAGAGCAAAGCATGCAGAGGAGGGGGACAGGAGAGGCAGGCAAGTGCCAGGTCAGGTGGGCTGCAAGCCTGGGCTAGGAAGGACATTTTATTTTAAGTAGGATGAGTCTTTGTTGGGGGATTATGCATGAGGTGGGGTGAGGGGTGGGGGCTTCATGATCCAATATTTAGAGCTCTGTCTGGCTGCTGCTGCTGCTATGTGCAAAATAGAACCCAGGGCAAATGAGCTGGCACCTGAAATTAGGGATTTCATTCAGGATTAATTGTTGTAATAAGGTTTCACCTTCTGCCACTACAGTGGGTGGGGCCYGGGGCCCCCAAAAAGTCATTTCCAAGTCCTCACACCCAGTTCCCGTGAATGTGACCATATTCCGTATTTGTGAAAAGGATCTTTGCACATATTATTAATTTAAAGATCTGAGATGAGCTTGTCTGGATTACCTGGAATTGCCAATCACTCTGGATTGGGGTGGGCTAAACCCACGACAGGTGTGCTTATAGGACTGAGGCCAGCCGGACGCAGTGGCACAAGCCTGTAATCCCAGCTACTGAGGAGGCTGAGGCCTGAGGATTTCAAGTTCGAGGCCAGCCTCAGCAATTTAGGCCCTATCTCAAAATTTAAAAAGGACTGGAGATGTGGCTCGTGGCAGAGATCTTGCCTAGCACACGAGGCCCTGGATTCCATCCCTAACTCCTCAGAGAAAAAAGAATAAGACGGAGGGAGATTTGACAGGCGGAGAAGCAGAGAAGAAAGCCACGTGAAGACCAGGCAGAGGTGGCAGTCACGTCACCACAAGCCACATTATGACTGGGGTACCAGAGCTGGGGGTGTCAGGGAGGGTTCTCCCTGGAGACTTGGGAGGGAGCACGATCCTGTCAACACCTTGACTTCAGACTTGGGGGCCTCAAGAGCCACCAAATTTATGGTAACTTGTTACAGCAGCCCTAGGAAAGTACACAGCCACTGGAGTGCCCAGCCTGCACCCACTCTCCCCACAGAATCCTGCCTGGACCTTTGGCCCTATTGAAGGCCAGGCGGTCACTGGGTGGCACCCCTGCAGGTCTCAGGGCCACGTGGGCTCAGGATGGGCGTTTGACTCCTCGACTCCCTAACCTGCACACAAGGGTGGGGACCAGACAGTTCCGCTCTCCTTTCCCCAGGGAGCTCTCGGCCCTAGGGATCCAGGCAGGTTCTTTTTTGTTTTTAAAGAGAGAGAGAGAGAGAGAGAGAGAGAGAGAGAGACAGAGAATATTTTAATATTTATTTATTTATTTATTTTTAGTTTTTGGGGGATACGACATCTTTATTTTTATGGGGTGCCGAGGATTGAACCCAGCGCCCCGTGCATGCCAGGCGAGTGCTCTACCACTTGAGCCACATCCCCAGCCCCAGGTTGATCTTTTAATTGAATTTGTGTGTGTGTGTGTGTGTGTGTGTGTGTGTGTGTGTGTTGCTGGTGATTGAACCCAGGGCCTTGTGCATGCGAGGCAAGCACTCTGCCAACTGAGTTCATCAAGTTCACCAAGTTCATCTTTAAATACTTAAGTAAGGGCAGAAAAAAGGCACATGGACTGGAGAATTGCTTACATGGGCTAAGAGTTGAATAAGGCAGTCTCTGTGTGTGGCTCCTAAACTTCCACCAGTTCAAGCAACTTTTGTCACCCCCCCCATGGAACACTCAGTAAAAGATATTGACTGTCATGAGGCTGATCCCTGCTCACCCTCCCTTAGCACCCCTTCCTCAGCACCCCTTCCTCATCTCCCCAGTTAAATGGGTGACCACAGACCTTTCTTATGTCTGAACTAAAATACACACACACACACACACACACACAGAGCCTATCAGTTGCATTTATTTGGTGAGAATTCATGCAGGGCTCATTTGCTATTATCTGAAGGTATATAATGATCAGACTTTTATTGAGCCGCTCACTATTCTAAGAGTGCACGCACTCATTCATTCTGCACAGCACCTCTATAAGGTGGGCACTTTTATTGCCTTCTTTTTACAAAGCGGAGAACAGAGGTACAGAGATTTCCAGTAGTTTGCCCAAGGAATTTGGACACCAGGAGCCTGGCTCCAAAGCTAGCTTCCTGGGAAGACCAGCTTAGAAATCAAGTTGCAGTGCCACTCTGGACAAGTGGTTCTGCGGCTCTGGGCCTCAGTTTCCTCAACTCTAAGATGGGACTAATATGCCTCTATTGGACGTGGTGGCGCCAGGTACAGTGCCTGCCACAAGCACCCAAGGAGCGAGCTAGAATTCAACCGCTAATACGAGGTAGCTGCCCTGGGCAGGCTTGTGCAGGGAACAGGGAACAGACGACTGAGTTAATACGGTGGGTCCTCTGGTCCCACGGAGTCCACCATCCAGGTAACCGGAAGCCCAGGGAGGATGCAGCCTCACCAGCCCTGCTCACACGGGGCTGCGGACGAGGAACGCCGGTGCCCGGGCCTCCGGGTCAGGCTGCTGCACCCTGTGGCGTGGGCACACTCCCCAGGTCCACTGAGTTCAGTCTGATTCTTCGGGGAATACTGAAAACCATGCAGGACCCCATCCGTCCGCTCCTGCAGCGCCCAAGGGAACCGAGTGGCGTCTCCAGCGGCCCGAATCATCAGGAAGTGTGTTACGTTCCACGAAAAAGGGGTGACATCGGGCTACAGCCGAGACAAACAACGGAGCACGCTGCCCGCACTCCCACCCCACTGGCGGCACTGAGGCCAGGGCGCCGGCGCTGCAGGAGGGACGCGCGACTCTCTCAAGGTCACTCACGACGTGACTCAACCCGCCGGGTCGCGCCTTGAACTCAAGATCCGCCCGCGCCTCGCGAGTCCACGAGCCGAGGGCGGGGCCCGGGGTCGCCTAGGCAACCGGCGCGCGCCACGCCCGTGCCGAGCCCGGCGGGGAGGCGGGAGCGCGCGCGGCCGGATGTCTCGCGGGGCTGCGGCCGCTTCCCCGGCCCCGCCCCCGGCCCCGCCCCGCGGAAGTGCTCGCCGACCTTCCCGAGCGCTGGTTGGTCCCGCGGCCCCGGGGGCGGAGCTCGCGGCCGGCCGTGCGTACTTCCGGCTGCCGGGTTGACATGAAGTAGCAGCGGCTGCTRGGGCGGCGGTAGCGGCGGGAGTAGGGTTGGTAGCGGGCCTCGGGGCTCAGAGCGCGGGGCGGCCTAGAGCGGCGGACGGCGCGGCGGGCCGAGTGGGAGGCGCAGCGGCCGCCCTGGCTGTCATGGAGATGGAGAAGGAGTTCGAGCAGATCGACAAGGCCGGGAGCTGGGCGGCCATTTACCAGGTGCGGGAGCGCCCGGAGCGCGGCAGGCCCGGGCTTAGGCCGCGCGGACCTTCCCCTTGGACCCCGGGTGCCCCGGTCACGCGTCCGCGCGGCCCTTCGGCTCGGGGATTCTACCGGACGGCGGCCGGGCCACCCCCTCTCTTTGTCCGCCGCGTGGGCCTGCGACTCGCCCGCGCCCCCAGCCCCTCCTGGCCTCCCACCCCGCGGGGGACCCTCGGCCGGTGACCTGGGGCCGCCGCCGGTGCCCCTGACGCGATCCCGCCCCGGCCCCGCCCCCCGCCTGCCCACCCTTTGTCTCCCGGGTGGCTGGACGCCCCCGCGACTTCCTCTTCTGCGCTGGACCACCTCGGACGCCCTTCCTTTGTCTCCTGGGGGAGAGGCTTGCTCCCCTCCCTCCTTCACATTTCCTTTCCCTGGGTCTCGGTGAGCGTCCAGTCCCCGCGAGGACGGTCCCCTGCCCCCTTCCTGTTCATTCATTTGTGGGGTGTGCACTGGCCAGTCTGTGCCCTGCAGGCTCCAGGTTGGACAGGACAGGCGAGACCACCCTCTCTAGTGCAGCTTGGAGTCCAGCAGGAACACAGAGCAAATGATTTCTGGTGGTGACAAGCGTTGCGGAGAGAGCAGCTTCCCGTCGCGGTGGAGGGTGACCGCCCGGGAGGGTTCCCTGCCTTGGAGGGTTCCCTGTCCGGGAAGGTCTGTGGCTCAGGTGGAGGAGCAGCAACAGGGAGCATCAGGGCAAGGAACCAGCCACCTGCAGTGCCCACCCCACGGGAGCCAGGCAGGGAGCAGGGAAGGTAAACGTTTCAACCCTCTTAAAGTGGCATCTTTCCTCTGGTCAGGGATGAGGTGCTCTTGTCTCCTGAGACCTTATCTGCCTGTGGGTTAGGAGGGGTTCATGAATGAAGTTAGGACGGTTTCCCACATACCTCTACCACCACAGATTGAAAACATGAAGAGGTTCTTCTTTCACAAGCAGCTAAATCCTCTAAAGAAAATATGTACTCCCGATTAAATGTCACTGCGGGGGTTGTGAGGATTAACCAAAACCACACTTGCTCAGTATCTTAAATAAGCCATGTACAAAATAGATTGTTGCTTGTGTAAAGGGAGAAGGCAGGGTGTTCTGTTTTCAGCTTCTAGGCTCAAAAGGCAACTTGTGAGATCCATCAACTAGTATTAAAGTCTATTTTGAGCTTCACTTAAAAAAAGAGGAAAGCTTTAGGCAATTCTTTGGTATGCTTGGCTAACAAAAACCTTTTTTGGGGGTAGCCTTGGTTTTTAAATTTATTTGACAGGTTTCTTTTTACTTGGACTGTAATGGATATTAGCTTCTGGYGGACTAACATGTATAACCACTATAATCTACCTCAGTATGATTGATCAATATATAAAATTTGTATTCCATATCTAGTCTCTGAATTAGTTGAATGAATTCCAGCAGTGACTTTGAGAGTATGTGGACACTTTGTATTGGATTTAATTCAGTAGAGTCCAGAGTGTGTTTCCCCGAAAATTGGTGAGAAGTGTTGGAACTGATACTGGTCTACTCCATCACAGTAAGAGGAAATCTTTTTTGTAGTGAAACTGATTGAATTGGCAACAAATCCATATTAYAAATAGGTTATGATTGAATTTGATTTCGTATAGTTTTAGGTCAGAGCGGCCTGACCTGACCCCAAGTGCATTGTTAAAATAAAGAACCCCAGTGGCATTGAATGGGGTCTTCAGTTAATTTCCCTCTTTGTTCTTAAATTTCACCACATTTAATACCATTAATTAGTCAAGATGTTAATATTTCTCCAGCTTCTTACCGGATTGCCACATTCCTGGAGGTGGTTCCTTTGATCTTAAAGAATTGTCACTGTGAGATTTTCTCACCTCTGCTGTGGAAATGTTTTTCTTTTCTAACATTGAAATCAGAGTCTGGTGGCCTGGTGGTGGCACAAGTGCAAGCCTGTAATCCCAGAGACTCTAATCCCAGTGACTCAAGGCGTGCTGAGAGAGGAGGATCTCAAGTTCAAGGCTAATTTCAGCAATTTATTGAGACCTTGTCTTGAAATAAAAAATAGAAAGGGCTGGGGGTGTAGCTCTGTGGTAGAGCACCCCTGGGTTCAATTTCCAGTGCAAAACAACAACAACAATAACCACAAAAATGAAATTAGAAGCTTTCTTTTTAAATTTTAAAGTGACTCTTTAAAGTAAATTTTAAATTTTTATTACTGTGTCATTTCTAAAAATGTAGAATTCAAGTAACCTTGGGTTAATCTAAAGTGGCTGATTTTCCAAGGTCATGTCAATGTACCAAAACCATGAAATTGTTTTTTAAATTTTTTTAGTTGTAGATGAACACAATACCTTTATTAATTAATTAATTTATTTTTTATGTGGTGCTGGGAATCAAACCCAGTACCTCACACATGCTAGGCAAGTGCTCTACCACTGAATCACAACTCCAGTTTCACAAAAACATTAAATGTTAAGAATTCGAAGAAATGTGTTTATGATTGGTAGAAAATGGAAGTTTAAAGACCTAGTATTTCATCGCATGTTATAATGAGRAGAGCCTTATACAAAGTCATACTTTGAGCTTGTCTAGTCTATTGTCAGAAAAATAATATATRATKTTTGCTTAAAACTTTGTAAATAAGGCAGCATGGTAATTTCTTGTTATTCTGTCTTCTAATTAAAACAAAAAGATGCACAAACCTGAACAAAGGGTGAAGTGCGCTTTGACTGTGGGTGAGTTGGCAGTGTGGGAAACAGGCTCCWCACTTTGATAAAGCAGCAGGACCGTCCTTAATCTTCAGTGCTAATAGACGGCATAGGTACCAGGAAGCACTTAGCTGTAGAGAAAGTCCGCAATGCTGGCTATGTTACTGATTTCTAAAATTGTTTTTTAGTATTTAAATGATTTGAAGGAATCTGGGTTGAAAAGTGGCAGTCAGCCTCATGTTTGAGTTGGTCCTGTGTCCAACAGGCAGCACAGATGAGGACAAGGGGCTGGTGGCGAGCGGCTCGAGTGGCTCTGATGAGGGAAAGATCCTCTGTGGTGGAGAGGCGCGGGTCAGGTGTTCTGCTGTCTTTGATTCTCTCTGTCGCACTTCACTRTTTTCAGTATGAATGATCTGATTGTTTGGGATGAAGGAGATTGCTACAGTAGCTTGTGACTTGAAGGAAAGATTTATTCGTGTTAGAGTCAGGCTTTGTAAATAGGCCTACTTCTGGTTGGCATTTGGTTTTAGAGCTGTGTTCATTATGAAATACAGTCCAGTGCCCGCCTAGGTTCAAACCTGGTGTAACAGTAATGCCCTCAGAGTCCATCCTGGCTTRCAGCTTTTGTTATAGTCCAAGAGGATGAATATCAAACTTCCCAATAATGTCTACCAAACGCCATTTTTTTTTTCCAGAGGAAAAAAGGATCTGTATTGCGCATAGGAGAAAGATGTATACACAATGACTCCCTTTACTTAAAGAAAAAAGACAAACGGAAATGACATGGAGAGGTTGGGAAGTTCTAGTCATTTGAGTGACCCATTAGACGGAAGCGTTCTTGTTTAGCCCTGGTTTGAGTGAACTAAATTTAGGTGTCTGAACGCCACTTTGGAAAGGGTGTAAAGGCCTTTGTAATCGTCTGCACTGGTACTGAATTAACTGGYAGCTCAAGTAGGAAAAATGGGAGGGAAGAACTTTTTGTTATCATCATTTGGCATTATTACCAGCTTATTTGTAGGTGTCCTTGGGACTTCTGGAGGTCACCAAGCCRTGTCAGATGGTTCTAAAAAGCCAGCTGGAGGTAATGGTAAAATGGATAAAAGCAAATGGGTTTTGGCAGCCAGTTAGCTACCTGCTGTCAGGATCCATTTTAGTATGATTAGCTCCCCAAACCTCGAGGACATGCCTGGCATTGAATAATGTAATTAATTGAATGTATGCTGAATTTCATGGTAGAAATGAATAAGAAATTTCCCATGGAGATTCCTAGATGATGGACCACTGAAATAGCTGTCTTTCTTTGTCTTTCTTTTCTCTTTTTTTTTCTTTCTAGTCCCTTAATTGTTTCCTGACATTTATTTATTTATTTATTTATTTATATTAGTTACACATGACAGTACAATGATCTTGACATATCATACATTTGAATCAAATGGGGTATAAATTCTCATTTTTCTGAGTGTACAGGTTGCAGAATCACATTGGTCATACAGTCATGTATATATATACAGCAATAATAATGTCTATTTTATTCTGCTGCCCTTCCTATCCCCACTTCCCCTCCCCTCCCCTTCCTGATTTTTTTGGTTGCAGAATCCTTTGGCAATTTTTGTTCTGTGCTGTGCTTTTAATCACTGATACTTTTTCTTGTGCCTCCCTGAGTTCTCGTGTATTTTGCTCAATTTGGCCTTCTTCCCTGCAGTGTTTATGTTAATTGRTTCCCAGTAACAGCTAATACCGGCAGATAGGCTGGGCATGTTCCTTGATGCTGCCATGCTCAGGGAACTTGGAATTCTGCTTGGGTCATTGTTCTCAGATGGTGAAACTTGGCACCCCTCTGCACATTTTGAGTGCCTAGGAGTGTTGGGGACTTTAACACTAGCCTGTGATTCCCTCTCCACCTTTCATTGGTTGGTCACCACATCCACCCCAGGGGTATAGGCTCTCAAATTTTGCATGAGACCGCAGTTGTTTGTAGCGTCACACTGCAGAAATGAGCGAAATTGGTGACCCATTAATCTGGTCCCTCAACACTCTCCGCCTCCCCCTTCTCACCGTGCATGTTCTTCTCATTATCACTAGAGTCTCCTTTTMAACACAGAGCTGAGCCTGAGCGGCCACTCCTCTGTGTAACTGTGAGTGCTTTCCTAATGCCTGCTGAGGTCCACACTCCTGAGCAGGGCAGCCGGGTCGCAGTCCTGCCCTGACTACGTCTCCCCCTTGCAAGGGCTTCTGTTCAGTCCCACCGGCAGGTGCATCCTTCTCCAGACCCAGCCTCATCCTTCACT